GTACTTCTGCCTTGACGTCTGCCCATCTCCTTGTGGTTCATTCTTGGTCTTATCAGCGCACTTGGTTCAGACAGAGCTGACAGATTCAGGAAGTCTCCTCTCTTGTCCAGATGGGAGCTCTTGTCCAAATGGGAACTCCAGGGCACGATGGGAGCTCTTGTCCAGAAGGGAAGTCCGGGGCGCGATGGGCGCTGTTGTCCAGAAGGGAAGTCTGGGGCAGGATGGGAGCTCTTGTCCAGAAGGGAAGTCCAGGGCAGGATGGGAGCTCTCTCTCTGGTCCAGAAGGGAAGTCTGGGGCAGGATGGGAGCTCTCTCTCTGGTCCAGAAGGGAAGTCTGGGGCAGGATGAGAGCTCTGGTCCAGAAGAGAAGTCCGGGGCAGGATGGGAGCTGGGGGCTGGTTTCTAAGTCTCAGGAAGTGCTGGGGTCTTGGGCAGATGGGCGTGGGGGCAGGGCATGGAGATTGCAGGGTCTGCTGGGGGTCTTGGAGAAGGGGATCCTTCCCGGTGGGTCTAGAAGGGTACCTGCCAGGTGGCCAGAACCTGGGGCCAAGTTGGGCAGGTCTTTTCCGGAGTGGCTGGTGCCCAGGGATGGGGTCCGGGGCAGGATGGGAGCTCTGGTCCAGAAGGGAAGTCTGGGGCAGGATAGGACCTGGGTGCTGGTCTCTCCCATGGCAACTCTTATAAAGGAAAACATTTAATTGGCATATGACTTACAGTTCAGAGGTTCAGTCCATTATCATCATGGTAAGACATGGCAGCATTCAGGCAGACATGGTGCTGGAGAAGGAGCTGAGAGTTTTATATCTTGATATGCAGGCAACAGTAAGTGAACTGACTCAATGGGCATGGCTTGAACATATATGAGACCTCAAAGCCCACCTCCCCAGGGACACACTCCTTCCCACAAGACCACACCTACTCCAATAAGGCCACATGTCCTAATAGTGCCACTCCCTTTGGGGACCATTTTCTTTCAAACCACCACAATACCTTAGGGGAATCAAACCAGCAGCTTGGTTCAGAGAGGCTGAGTTACTTGAAAGGGAGCTCATTTATGTCACTCCTGCTGTTTTGGCACCAGATAAATGAAAAAATGAAGACAGGAGTGTTTCAAGGTATGGTGGAGGAGAAGGGTTTATTGTAGATCTGAGGGAGAGAATAGCCAGAGGCATCTGGAAGAGTCCAGACTGAACATGGCCAGCAGACTGAACCAGGCCATGAGAACACCTAGGAACCAAGAACACCAAGAGACAAAGAGACTGCATGCCCAAAATGCCTGAGTTGAACAGGGCTCAAAAGATGGGGGAAGGGAAGTAGAAGCCCAGCCCCTGGGAGGAAGAGGTTTAGGGTAGGGGTGGGGTGATGAGTGCTGGGAGGAGCCACATGTACTGAGGGAGACTTGTCCTGGGTTTCTTTGAGACCTAACACCGTGCCCTTGCTCACCCTCCTACCATCTGAGTATATATTTATAATGGGAGTTCATGGGCATTGGACCTGAAGAAGGTCAGATAGCAAAGTTCAAGAATTGTTCCATACTTCATTTCCGTTAATTTAGCTTCTGATTCTTTTTATTATATGTATTAACCAAGGTGAATATTGAGCAGATTAGGACAATGAAAAACACCTAACTTCTGAGTTCAGAAAAGTACATATTCTGTAAAGGACTGCATGTTGCATAACAGGCTAGCTCTTGTTTATTTTTTCACAGCATTTGTAGACCAATGTCTACAGGGGCTGTGCACAAAGTTTCTCACAAAGTAAACCTTTAACAGATTCATTACAGAAAACAACTCAGCAGAATGTTCCTCTTGGTGACTTTAAAGGAAGCAGCTCCCTACCTAACACCTAGCTCGTTAAGGGATAGCTGTTCTATGGCCTTGGTGCAAAAGGGAGGAGGGACAGGATCTACTGTATAGTGAAACAGAACTTGTTGAAACCTTTGGAGTCACCCAGGAGCAATTGTCCTTGCCTTCCCTTGGACATAGTTCTTTGTCTTCGATGGCCTTTCAGGATCTCCTGGATCAAGTTGGCAGCCTGGGGAGATTCCAGATCCTTCAGATGACTTTCATTTTGATCTGCAATGTCATAATGGCCCCTCATTCTCTACTGGAGAACTTCACTGCAGCCATACCCAGTCATCGATGCTGGGTCCCCATCCTTGACAATGCTACTGTCTCTGATAATGAAAGTGGGATTCTGAGCCAAGATGACCTCCTGAGGGTCTCCATCCCCCTGGACTCCAACCTGAGGCCAGACAAGTGCCGTCGCTTTGTCCAACCACAGTGGCATCTCCTTCATCTGAATGGCACCTTCTCCAACGTGACAGAGCCAGACACAGAGCCCTGTGTGGATGGCTGGGTATACGACCAAAGCACCTTCCTCTCTACCATTGTGACTGAGGTAAGTGACTTCATTTCTTGTCATCAGTTCATGATGGGTGTTTAGCAATAGCATGAATAGTGCACATGTTTTGAGCTTAGATTTAATCTTTTAGCCAATGTTGATTACTTATCTGTTAAATGTGAAACACCTATTCAAAAAAAAAATGAAAAGGACTTATTTTCCTGCTTATTTCACTCTAAGGGATGACTACAGTTTAAAAAGTAATTCTTATGTGTCAAATCAGTTTAAGCAAATAATTCATGGGCTTTTTTTTTTATAAATACAAGTCAGTATTTATTTTTCAGCTTGGATTTCAAATAAGAAATATCTAGGAGATTGAACAGAAGCACAGTGGGCTGTCTGGGAGTATGGCTCGCTGGTATGACACTTGTGGCACGTGTGAGCCCAGGGTTCAATCTAAAAAGTCTCAATACTTTACCTTCTGTGACAGGGTAGAATGGGGCTGTGCAGATGGCCTTGGGATACAACTTCAGTACTGTCAATATATCTATATCTAATGTATATCTGTATCTATATCTAATCTATCTATCTATCTATCTATCTATCTATCTATCTATCTATCTATCTATCTATCTATCTATCCTAATCTATCTATCTATCTATCTATCTATCTATCTATCTATCTATCTATCTATCTATCTATCTATCTATCATATTTCTTTCTTCCTTTCTTTTCTTCATCATCATCATCATATCATCATCATCATCATCATCATCTAATCTTATAAAGTCAATATCCAAACTCTGCTCTCAGAGTGATATGAGAGGCTGTGCTCAGGTATAGGATCCAGCAATTTTTTTTTGTCTTTGTTTTTCAAGACAGGGTTTCTCTGTGTAGTTTTGGTGCCTCTCCTGGATCTCGCTCTGTAGACCAGGCTGGCCTCGAACTCACAGAGATCCACCTGGCTCTGCCTCCCGAGTGCTGGGATTAAAGGCATGCACCACTACCACCTGGCTCCAGTACATTTTTTAAGGCTATCAAATTATTACAGTATATGGCCAAATTTGAGAATTTCCTAGCATGGGCTACAAAGTCAGTAGTACAACCTGAAGAACTAGGTCCTAGTTACTAGGGAAAGATTCCTGGAGCCAGGTGTGTTTAAACTGAGATCAAGATTGTAGAAATCAGGTGGTATTGAAATGGCAGAGGAGTTTAGGGGTCTGCTACAATGAGGCTTGAGGGTCACATTGAAGCATTTTGATATAGTCTGACTGACAGGGTATAAGTCTAACTTTGCTGGTTTCTGTATCTTCCAGTGGGACTTGGTGTGTGAATCTCAGTCGCTGGAATCAATAGCTAAGTTTCTATTCTTGACTGGTATGTTAGTAGGAAATATCATCTATGGCCGCTTAACGGACAGGTGAGTGTCTCTGGTTTATGGCTCTCTCTGTGTATGGTTATTTCAGTTCTTTGTGAGTCATTCATTCATTATGAATGAGGTAGCCATTGCAAATTATATTCTTCTAGCTGTATCTTTGATTCTAGAGAACCACAAACAAAAATGGAAATTTCACTCAGTGTGATGAGTGCTGTCTGAATAGAAGTCTATGTGTTGTATGGACACAGGAATAGCCTCTCCATGAGATATGGGGGTGTTTCAGGATGGGGAGTAGAGAGAAAGTGTGACAGCATGGTTGAGAGATATGAGAAACAGTCAACTATGGGAATAAGACCAAGATGGGCAACACATTGTTTTCATCCTATTTGAATATTCAAATACAGACAACAGCATTGACGCTCTCCCCAGAGGAGCTGTGCTTTCTCCCTCCTGGACACCTCACTGAACAGCTGTGGTGCCCAGAGAAGGGACATTATGTCTTCACTTCTTAAGCACAGTGATGGAATGTCCTTTGATACCTATGGTGTCATTGGTGTGTTGGGCAGCTATGTCTGTCACTTTTTTTTTTTTTTGGTTTTTCGAGACAGGGTTTCTCTGTGTAGCTTTGCGCCTTTCCTGGAGCTCACTTGGTAGCCCAGGCTGGCCTCGAAC